AAGAGAGATATCACCTGTAGTCTTTCCTGGGGCCCTTTACTTGGCCCTAAAACGGTCCAATTCTGGTGTTGTCGGCAGGATACAGGATGGTCTAGCGCGGCCTTGGGTGTAAGTGACAAAGATTTGGGTTACACCTTATATATATATATTATATATATATATATATATAATTAAGTTAAAAAAAATGTTTTTTTTTTGGCGGGGTTCAAACAAAACAGCAGTGTGCACTTCGTGGGACTGGTTGAGTGTTGGTGCTTCCTCGCCCTGGGGTCCCTCTTTGACGAAGCCGAAGTGTTCTCAGAATTGAGTTTTTCCCGTGTCCTCACTGCAGCCATGGCCAACGAGCTCCAAGAATTAAGAGACATTTGAATCGAGCAGCTGCGGGTTGAACAAGGAAGCAGCTACTCCCAGAACGAGCAGTAGCCAGTAGCATCCCAGTCAGGCCTAGGTCCTGATAGTCCAGCTGGTTTGCGACACGCTGTTCATATTCTAAAGGACCCTGTTGAACGTGTGCTGTATATCCCTAGGGAAAGAAAATGTCCAGTCTTTAGGGGGACTTCTGGGATCCCAGTGGAGGATTGGGTTGAAGAGATGAGGGCAACTCTGAGAATTAGACATATGAGGTCTGTTGAGCAAGCTTATTTTATATATGATCACTTGGAGGGAGAGGCCAAGGATGAGATTAGGTACCGGCCTAGAGCAGAAAGAGAGGACCCGGAGAGAATTTTCATTGTCCTCCAAGATTTGTATGGTTGTTCTAAGTCCCATGTTTCTCTCCAGCAGTGTTTCTTCTCTCGAAGGCAGCAGGAGGGAGAGTCACTCCAAGAGTTTTCACATGCTTTGTACTGTCTCATGGAAAAAATTGAACGCTGTGCCCCGAGCGGAGTGCAGGTGCCCCTATGCTTCTTAGGGACCAGTTCGTTGAGCATGTCCATGATGCTAACCTTCGTAGGGAGCTAAAGGGGATAGTGCGGCAACATCCTGAGTATACCCTCTTGGACATTAGAGCAGAGGCCATTCGCTGGGAGCGGGAGGGACGACCTGATGAGCCTAGGGCTAGGAGCTATTCGGTGCCCTCTTTTAGTGCCATGCAGTGCTCTGAGGTTAGGGCAGCTACTAGTCCTAGTATTACAGAAATGGCAGAGTTGAAGCACATGTTACAGAAGCAACAGGAGCAGCTTAACCAATTGACACAGGGTGTACTGGCACTGGCACAGGCTGCTTCGAGGCCCCACAATAAGCCCCCCATTAGACCAGCACGTCCAAACACTGTTATATGTAGGCGTTGCCAAAAACCAGGTCATTATGCCAATGAATGCAATAACGAACGTGTTGATCCCCAGGTTCAGCAGCTACAGGTCTCACACCCCATAACAGCTACCTCTGCCGCTCAGGATGCGGGAAACTTCCTCCCCCTGATGTGAGGAGCCAAACATCAGGAGGGGAGAATACCGGCTCGGATGTACAGGGACCAACTACTCCGACTGCTGCCCTTAACCTCGTAGCACCTTGCCCCAAGGTAACGGTTAGCTTAGGAGATGTGCCTGTTAACCTCCTTCTAGACACAGGGTCAATGGTGACAACCATCACTGAAAGTTTTTTCCTCCAACACTTCCAGAGTGCCCCTAGGTCCTGCCGCTGGCTGCAGCTGCGCGCTGCCAATGGCCTAGAAATTCCCTATGTAGGATATGTAGAGTTGGATGTCACAGTCTTTGGCAAAGTTATACCACAGCGAGGTGTGTTGGTCATAAAAGACCCTCCTGGCCACAACTGTCCCTCAGATGCCCCTGGGGTCTTAGGCATGAATGTGATTAGGGAGTGTTATCAGCAGCTTTTCACCCAACATGGTCCTGACCTTTTTGACCTCCCCATAATGCAGCAGGCCCCTGCCGTGTGGCTACAGGCGCTACAACATTGCCACCATGCTCAGTCTCATACAAAGCAAGCCAAGTCAGGGTTAGCCCGGGTGAGAGGTAGGCATCCCATCACTATACCTAGGGGTACAGTTAAGTGGGTTACAGCGACATTTTCTTCTCATTGTGGTGGGCCTTTAGGTACTGCTTTGATTGAGCACCTTGATGATGGTAGGTCCCTCCCTGAGTGTGTGCTAATCTCCCCAGCAATGGTCACTGTCACTAGAGGAACAGTGTATGTGCCAGTGGTAAATGTAGGTGAGACAGATGTCCTTTTACACCCACGCCACCCCAGAGGACTTTTAAGTCAGGCGCAGATTGTAAGTTTGCCAGAGGGAGTTACTACTGTAGAACACAAGTTGGGGGGGGGTCACAGCTACAGTTGGCACTCAAGCAGTTCAAAGCAGCCCAGTGAGAGAACACATTGAGTCCATGGAATTATGTTCACTTTCTGAGCCAGACCAGAGAAAGGTTAAGTCCATGTTGTTGGAACATGGAGCTGTGTTTGCAGCTTCTGACCTGGACCTTGGTTGTACTAACCTTGTGACACATGACATCCCCTTACTTGACAACATCCCAATTAGACAGAGGTACAGGCGAATACCCCCCTCTGACTATGACGAGGTAAGGGCCCACATACGTCACCTGTTAGAGAGCAAGGTTATTCGGGAAAGCTGTAGCCCCTATGCCTCTCCTATTGTCTTGGTTAGGAAGAAGGACGGGATCCTGAGACTCTGTGTGGACTACATGCTGCTAAACGGCAAGACACGAAAGGATGCCTTTCCCCTACCAAGAATTGAAGAGTCCTTGGATGCTCTGTCGGGAGCTCAGTGGTTCTCCACCATCGACTTGGCTAGCGGCTACCATCAGGTCCCTGTCACAGAGCAAGATAAAATGAAAACTGCTTTCTGCACCCCATTTGGTCTTTTTGAGTTCCAAAGGATGCCATTTGGCCTATGCAATGCCCCCAGTACATTTCAGAGACTGATGGAACGGATGTTTGGGGACCAACATTGCCGTTCCCTGCTGTTGTACCTTGATGATGTTGTTGTGTTTTCCTCCACAGTGGACAAGCACCTTAGCCGCCTGGACTTAGTTCTAGGCCGCTTTCAGAGGGAGGGGTTAAAGGCCAAGCTGGAGAAGTGCCATTTCTTCCAACAAGAAGTACAGTACTTGGGACATGTAGTGTCTGCCGCAGGTGTCTCTACAGATCCGAAGAAGACTGCTGCGGTGGCTGATTGGGCAATTCCTAGTACGGTGGCTGAACTCAGGTCTTTCCTAGGTTTTGCCAGCTACTATAGACGCTTCGTCGAAGGGTTTGCCAAGCTGGCTGCCCCCCTCCACAAAGTAGTTGCTGAGCTTACAGGGAGAAAGAACCGCCGAGGTCAGGGTGTTACTCTGAGTGACTCCTGGACCCCCCAGTGTGAACACAGCTTCAGCGAGCTCAAGGAGAGGTTGGTGTCTGCACCTGTATTAGCCTATGCTAACTTTGACCTTCCCTTTATTTTAGAGGTGGATGCCAGTCATGATGGTTTGGGTGCAGTCCTTTCCCAGGAGCAGGATGGGAAGGTCAGACCAATTGCCTATGCCAGTCGGAGTCTTCATCCTGCAGAAAAGAACTACAGCTCTATGAAACTAGAGTTTCTGACCATGAAATGGGCAATGACAGACAAGTTCCGTGAGTATTTGCTGGGCCACAAGTGCATGGTATGAACAGACAACAACCCACTCAGTTACCTGAGCACTGCCAAATTGGGTGCTACAGAACAGCGCTGGGTGGGGGAGCTGGCGGTTTTTGACTACACTGTGCGGTACCGCCCAGGGCGCAGCAACCGCAATGCAGATGCTTTGTCTAGGCAACACCCATCCCAAGGTGAAGTAGCGACCTGCCCAGCCCGCCCTGGGACCCTGGTGCCGGAGACGGTTCGAGGAGCTGTTGTGGGTACAGGGTCGGCAGTCCAACACACCATCTCTGCTGTCCCAGAGCGTTCTACCAAAGACCTAGTAGCATTGCAAAGAGCTGACCCAGCCATCAGTGCTGTTCTCCCTTTTTTTCACCAGCGGCGGGTGCCAGGCCGTGAAGAGAGACAGAGGCTCCATCCTGCAGCGCTGCGGTTGTTGGGCCAGTGGGATTGACTCACCATGAGGGACGGGCTGCTGCACAGGACGTACCAGCGTCCCAATGGTGGAGAATGGGTGTACCAGCTGGTCCTCCCAGAGAGTCTGAGGGGAGAAGTGTTCCAGCAGCTACACAATCATCATGGTCATCAAGGTATTGAGCGTACCACAGAGCTGATCCGGCAGAGGTGCTATTGGCCAGGAATGGGCAAAATGATCAAAGAATGGTGTCAAACATGTGGGAGATGCTGTGTTTCTAAAGATACACAGCCACAGGTCCAAGCCCCAGTGGGCCATTTGTTAGCCTCCAGACCCAACGAAATATTGGCTATCGACTTTTCATTTTTAGAGCCAGCTAGGGATGGGAGGGAACAGGTGTTAGTGCTAACCGATGTCTTCTCCAAGTTTACCATGGTTGTCCCCACCCGAGACCAGCGGGCCTCTACAGTGGCAGACGTGTTAACTAAGGAGTGGTTCTACAAGTATGGTGTTCCAGCAAGGCTGCATTCGGACCAGGGTCGCAGTTTTGAAAGCACTATTATCCAACAGTTGTGTGAGTTGTATGGCATCAGAAAGTCCAGAACCACCCCCTACCATCCCCAGGGAAACGGCCAGTGTGAGCGCTTTAACCGGACCCTCCTTCGCACTTTGTCAGCTGAACAGAAGCACAGATGGCCAGAATACCTCCAACAGGCTGTGTTCAGCTATAACACCACACCCCACCAAACTACAGGTCAATCCCCCTTCATGTTGATGTTTGGCCGTGAACGCTGGCTGCCTGTGGACTTCCTGCTGGGTCGTGTAGAAGAGCCGACCTCAGGTGAAGTCTGCAACTGGGTCCGGGAACATCAGCGACGGCTGCAGGTGGCAGTGGAGAATGCCCGAGAGAAGATGAAGCAGGCTGCCGCCCAGCGAAAGGACAGGGCAGACCAACAGGCCCAGGGGGACGTGTTACCAGCAGACCAACACGTCTACCTGAGGGACCATTCTCAGCAAGGGAGGAGTAAAATCCAGGACGCCTGGGCCCCCAAAGTTTTCCAAGTGGTGAGACCCCCAGAGCGAGGAGGGGCAGTGTATGCTGTGGCCCCACAACATAAGGTGACAGAGGTACGACATGTTCATCGTTCCATGCTTAAACCTGTACCGGCCTCTCATATTCTTCCCAGCCCTGCAACAAGGTGGAGCCCATCCACGATAAGCCCCGACACTGAAGAGCAAGGCCTGTGGGTGGCAGTCAGCTGTGCACCTGGGTCAGAGGATTCCCAGCCTGTCAATATACAGGCCCCACCTCAAGTGGGCCCAGTGCTGCGCCCTGTACTCCCTACAGCAGTTCCCCCTGAAGCCTGTGCAGGTACCAGCTTCTCTTCACCCCCCTGTCCAGAGATGGTAAGAAAGTCAACCCGTGAGAACGCTGGCAAACATTCTAACCCTTACCGCCTGCCAGCATCAGTGACAAGTAGGGCAGATGGGGCTACAAATTCCCAAATAATTGGCTCTAGTGCTGCTCCCATACCAGTTCTCTTTAGGCCTTGTCTTAATAAATTGTCGGGACGTCAATTTAAATCCCCGGGGCAGATTATGACCGGTAGTGAATTTCCCTCCCAGGCCACCGTAGGATTAGACAGCAGGATAGCTCCACCCACTTCCTCATTTATCAGTGTATTTAAACCGGCAGACCGGCTTTCTCTCTGTTGCTGCCTCCGCATGGTCCCTGGCATACTGTTTGGCACACATTGTGTGGTAGGTTTTTTTTATTCTTTCTGTGATATTGTTTTCTGATTGTGTGGCTTATCCTCTGCTTGGTTTGTCCTGCTGTAGGTCCTGCTTCCTGGGTATCCCGCATGTTGACTCACATGTAGAGTGAATTGTGTTGAGGTAATACACCACCTTTCTTTATGTATTTTTATTTTTGGGTATGGCAGAATTGTTATTTAATTGGCTTGTGTTCTCTTTTATTATAGACAGACTGCCACTGCTGTTTTGTTTTGTTTCGTTATATTGTTTTGTTTTATTTGTTTAACTAGTTTTGTTTACCTCGTTATATAGTTTCTTTTGCATTTTCTGGTATTATTTACCTCTTCGTTGCAATAGATGATTTCTGTTAGTTCCTTAGTCCCTTTGTCATTTTAGCCCTCTGTGGCATTTAACTCGTTTAATTTTCCCCCAAGGGTTTTTAATATATTTATTGCAGCAGTTGTTTGTGTACGGTTTTTAACTTGTTGTTGTGTTCTCTTTTCTTTGCATGAGTGCTGCAGGGCCGGTGAGAGTGTGGCCGCTTGGACGGTGGAGGGATCGGTGTCCGGAGCTTCTCACCCCAGCTTCACATCCCTTTAGTTGTGTGTGTGTGTGTGTGTGTGTGGTGATAATTTTGCACGTCCTTCACAATTTATGGTTTTTCCCTTATATTTTCGATTGTTTTGACGTGTGTGTGTTGGGCACGGAGTGAGGTGAGTGCTCCGTCCTATTAGACTCCCCTCTCCCCCCCGTGTCTGCGGCCGCGCCCAGCCGTCTTATCGTGCTCTTGCTTAGTACTTTTTTTAAAGTTGTTTATTAAACATGCTGTTAGTTTATCTTGCTGCAGAATAATAAAAATTGTGAACTTGGGGGAAAACTCTTTGTCCGTGCCCGTTCTTGACCATCACCTGTATCATTTCCTGTGGCCCCTTTACTGGCTTACGGTCACACTTGCATTGCATCCATTCGTATACTGAGGTGTATGTTTCTGTATCAGCTCTGATACATGTCTGTGAGCCTGAGCCTGTCACTGTGGGTGTGTCTGCTGTGGGTGGGTTCATATTCACAACAGTGTGTTGAATGTCTCATACTGATAAGAGCAGAGGAGTGTGTGTGTGTGTGTTTCTTTCTCTCAGACAGACACAGACAGTGAAACAAATGTTTCAGACTCAGACTCTGGAAGTCAGGGGGGATCCAGTCCAAAGCGCAACCAGGAAAAGAGCAGGATTTTACAAATCCTGAGGTCACAAGTCCACGTTTACAAAGTCTGACCCCTGTCACATATCTAACATTTAAGTCATGATGTGGAAATTGTTCCAATGTAAAAAAATAACAAATATTAGAACCTGTGAAAACATGGGGGTATTTTAGAGGCTGATTCCATGACTTTTAAACTAAACATAATCAAAAAAATACATGCATGGAAATAAATCCACAGACAGTATGTCCTCACTATAATACCTGTTCTGCAGTAGGGAAAGACAGAGACGCCATGAGATACTCTTCATTGGAGGAAGTGAAACATTGCTCATTAAGAAACATGTACTGTTTGTATTCATTTATTATATGACATGATATATGTGGCAGATCACACTACAGTCTGATAAACAAATACAGTATTATTATACCACTGTGAAGAAATGCATTGTTATTCTGTGGTGTAATATACTACTGATATACTGTACTTAAAAGACCTCAGGGGAACATGTATGTTAAATCAGAAATGATCTCCTCACAAGGTCCATTTATCAATCAATCAATCAAACTTTGTATAGCTTTATTTGTACAGCACTTTTCATACAGGTTAGTGCACTTCAAAGAGCTGCACACACGACTTATCAGGACAAATCAAGAAAGCTGACAATAAAATAGATTTAAAAATCTATAATAACATTAGTAAACAGAGTCAAATGAATACTAAAAGAACAGATGAAATACAATAAAATACAATTCACAACATAATTCCCATAAAATAAGTGAATAAAATAAAGTGACTAATGTCTAAAAATTTCTTTAATTAAAAGCCAGGCTGAAGACGTACATTTTGTGTTTACATTAACACATTTCAACACTTTTGGCTGCTCATTTTAGTAGCTGTAATATAGCTTTCTATCATATTACATGGTCTTCATCATCTTAATGTGCCCAGAAGAAAATAGACATTTGAGCATCTGCAGCATCATGACAACTGGACGATCGCTTTCTCAATTAAACAACCATGAAAATAAAACAACAGGAAATTTAACTCAAACACTCCATAGGGTCTACACTGCTGGCCAAAAGTATGTGGACACCCTTGTTTAGGTCCAACAGTTTAGGCATGAGTCAGTCTGGCGAGCATACAGAAATTAGTTACCCAGTTTACTGTAAAGAACCTGACTGTGAGCCAGACCTCATCACCAACACCAGCACTGGACCTCACTAATGCTCTTGTGTCCCTGCAGCTGGGACACACACATCACACAACGGGGTGTCTATTCATTCTGTTTTCATGTCCGCAGCCTTTAATTTTATAAGAGATTTAGAGCTACTTTTGTGTAGTTGCACAGTTGATGCACACACCCACCTACAAACTTGTGCCAGATGTAATGTTTCACACAAGTTACAAGGACACAGAAGTTTCCATGTGCAGTGATAAAGGTGTGTTGTTGTGTGTGCAGGTTATGATGTGTCATGTTGTTTATTGGTTCTTGGAGAATCTGAGCTGTATAAAAACTCTCAGTGGCTGACAGCAGGACACAGTTCAGATTCTTAGGTAAGAACCAAGTCCTCCTTCACCACCACACACTGTAAAGTAATGTAACAGTAAATGGAGGGGTTTATTTTTGATGACATACTATTTGTTTTTTTAAGTTTTCTATAGTGGTCTTCCTAAGTGTTCTCTCTGGTTATTCCAGGTCTGTTGCAGCCATGTTGGTTTTCTCTTGGTCTCTTTGGGTCCTGCTGCTGGTCTCCTCTTCCTGGGCTGAGGTAGAAAATCCCAGAAACCACCTCATCTCACCGGCATGACATGAAGGCCTATACGTGCAGAATGAATTTCATAGATGTTAATATGGAAGAAAAACAAGTGACAGAGCTCTTATTCCGTCTGACCCGTGATGTACAGATTACTCATGTCAGAGGGGGGAGAAAATCAGGTCTTAAATAAGTGAGAGTACACACTGAAATGTTAATGGACATTAAAAACTTGATCTGAAAAGGAAAAGCTATAAATTGTCTTGAGTCAACTGAAGTTAACAACCATATAAAGCTATGTAGAAATTACACCAATGTGACCAGAAGATAGATTTTTAACTAAACTAAAAAAAACAGACAAACACACAAAAATGAAGCTGTTAGGCTTCATGTAATGAACACAGTATCTGATTACTGTATCACAAACAGCTGAGTTTCGGTTTGTTTGGTTTGAACCATCAATTATGTAAAATCAATAGAACTTTTCTTTCTTTCTTGCTCTCAGCTGCTGACACCTCACTTTTTACTTGACCATGTTTATTGCTTCCTGAAGTATTCATAGTTAGATATACTCTAAAGGCTATATTATCATAATTTTATGACTAATAATTAAATTTGATCTATGTGAATGAACTTCAGTAACATGTTGCTCTTCTTGCATGTCACTCTGGATGACCACAGAATGGTAAGAATCTAACTCTTTATCCAGCTTCACATACAAACTAAACTATAACAATTAAGAGATTTATAAAAGGTTTACAATTTCCTTTTCATGTTTTTGAATATTTCAAATATTCAAGGTACTTCTGATGTCATTAAGCTCATATGTTCAAAATGATGACGCATATAGCTCATACAGTATCACATGTGTTGTCCAGAGGTCGCTGCCATTGAGGATGACACATCCAGGGAGCTTTCTGTTGGTGAACTGCTGGAGAGAGCCAACAGAGACCGCAGTGAGCAGAGCTTCTCCTCACCTTCACACATCATTCTGTCCAGTCCCCTGAGCTTCACCAAACCATCACTTAACAAGAGTGGAACAGATGGTTCTGTGAAGTATTTCAAAGTCACCTCCGCACTTGTGCTGGTTTCGCAGCCCCTGACTTTGATGAGCCCATCCTGATCGGAGGCGACATCGCTATCAAGTCTGAGGCTGACAGGAACGCTGACCCCTGCACCTCCAGAGGCTGTCTGTGGGGCAAGTGGAGTGACGGGAAGGTCTACATCCCTTACTACATCGCTAACCACTTCTGTAAGCATCAACAGTGTCATTATTATTATAGGGCCAGATACAGTTTACTTACTGAACAGACCAAGCTAATTTAATTTTACACTTGCTTGTAAATATTCGGATTTTTGTACAATCACACACGACTATTTCTTACTTGTTACTTTGTTACTCTACTTGTTACTTTACCTATAAAAGCTTACGTGCATCATAAGAGTCTAAATGAAAACATTGACCTTTTCAAATAAAAAAGAATAATCGGCTACAGTGTATAATTATTATGCACTATGTTGTTATCAGCTATAGTTAGCAGTTACTTTACAAATTAAGACTTTACATAAACACATATGATGATCTCATAAACAACCCAACAGCATATTAAATAATAAGAATGAGTTCCAATGTGACCAACTACAACAGTAAAATTATTATTGCATCACTATTAACAATCCAATAACAATAATAATAATATTCACTAATTAACCCTTTGTCTTAGTTTTAATTCAGCACATTTGTTGATAATACTTCTGTATTCTTACTGCAGGAGCACATTTACATGCAGCACTTTCTCTTGTACTGGAGGATTTTTACAGACCGGTATTGCTGGTTTTTAACCATATTACCATAATACCATAATACCATAATAAGTAATGTAAATATGTTACATATAAACAATAAAATTAATGGGGTTATAATTGATCATGAACTAATTATTATTTGAGTAATTATGATAAAACTTAATTCTATAATAATAATAATAATACAGTTGAATTTTGAAGTTCAGTTAAATGACATTACATAAATAAGGTAAGACCACAGTGGTGTCACAGACCTTGTCATCCTGCCATGTTTGTCCTGCCAGCCTCCAGAGAGCAGGCCATCATCACTCGTGGACTGGAGTCCTTCTCTTCAGTTTCCTGCATCCGTTTCAGACCCTACCAGAATGGTGATAGTGACTGGCTGAACATCGAGTCCAGGGACGGGTAAGAGCCCGGCTCTAAGTTCACTACACGATAGGAATCCACACACAGACACACACACACACACACACACACACACACACACACACACACACACACACACACACACACACACACACACACACACACACACACACACACACACACACACACACACACACACACACACACACACACACACACACACACAGGAGCTCTGTGAGTTTTTCATTTTTGCTCCATCAGTTTACGTCTTTAACAAACTTGTTTCTTTTAACATCTGTCTTGAAGCTTGTCTGGAAATTACACGTTGCCTGTTGCAGGTTTAAAGCATCTCCTCCTTTCCTTCATGAGCTTCAGTAACCACAGGAAGTTCATGCTTTTAAATGACTATTTTACTTAACAACAAATGCTTAGTGATGTTTGCTACAGTGGATCAATAACATTTGAAGAAGCCATAGTGTACATGGTTCTTCTAGAGCAGCGATTCCCTCTACAGTTCTGCATGTTGGTATCTAGTAGTATATATTTCTATCTTTCCACAAACTGCTCCATGTTTGTTTCCGTAGCTGCTACTCATTCGTGGGTCGCCAGGGCGGTGGTCAGACCGTCTCTCTGAGCCGTCAGGGCTGTCTCTACCATGGCACCATCCAGCACGAGCTGCTCCATGCCCTTGGCTTCAACCATGAGCAGACTCGCTCTGACAGGGACAGCTATATCCAGGTGTACTGGGACAACATCATTGATGGTTAGACACTTTCACCATCTATCACATGACTTGTATTGTTGTTTAGCTGCTCTGGAGACAGAAACAGTCTCATTGTTTGCAGGGGTGCAAATTCATCGAGGGTGAAAAAGGTGACAAAGATGCAAAGAGGGTGAAGGCTGAGGGGATCCATATTGCCCAGTATGACCAGCTAATCAACATTCTAGATTCATTATATTATCAATAGTCAGTGTCATTAAAATCATGAGGTGCTTAAGTACAGTACTTAGACTAAATATACCTAATTACTTTCCACCACTGCTAATACAATTACTGAGCATTCAGTACACATGTATTTCAATATTGTTTAATGAGCCAACAGGTAAAACTCTTGAATTACTGAGTGAAAACAAGAGGGTGTCTATAATACTGTAGAAGCTAATATGATAAAGGTAAAAGACTAAACCACCACACACACACACACACACGCACGCACACACACATACATACAACACTATTAACACGAAATAATAAACCCTATAAATATGCTTAATTAATATAATAATACACTATATCTACAACAACTAATCACACATTGTCTCACTGCTCATGACTGAGCCCCAGTGTTTGTAACATTAGATCATATATGACATTTTATATTGGTAATAAAATAACAAGCTAACACTTGAAATGAAAGGGCATGCTATCAGCTAGCTAACATTAGTTAGCTAAACTGTACCTTAAGGCTAATGTTAGAAACCTCTAATATTAGTGTTCATCCATACATATTTGATACAAACAGAAACTCTGAAGGTAATAAAGTAAATTGCTTCTTACATTTACCTATAGTATGTATGACACACAGGAACAGAGACTTGAGGATTGAGTCACTGATGAAGTGAGACATTCAAACCCTAAATGGGTTCCTTTACCCAAAATGCATCTCGATAACTGACAGTTATTGGGGACTGCAATGCTAGTAGCAGCTAATGTATCATGGCGCCTGTAGCCTGCAGCAAAGGTGAGTAGGGCGACAGAGGCCTGGCACGCTCACTTCCTTGTAAGCCCACACCAGAGTTTTTTTACCTTGCAAAAGTGTGTCATCAGCCCCAATCAACACTGACTAAATTATTAAATTGTTATCATTTATTGTTATTTTATTTATCAAAAAATGCCCTGAAGATAACTAAAACAGCAATTTGTAAAGCAGTTTTGAGTTCACAGTACGGTTTACACACCCTGATAAAAACCTACTGAGCTGAATTCAAATCTTTGCATTTCACTTTAAAACTGTAAATGTGTGAGATTTTGCATTCATTTTTTTTTAAATCATATCTGCAGGCATGGAGTACAACTTTTACAAGATTGACACTCTGAACCAGGGAACTCCTTATGACTACAACTCTGTCATGCAGTATGAGAGGTATGGACAACTTCATATTTGTAGTACTCTACCTATATTAACTTTATTAGATTTTCCTTTATCTTTCACCTCGTTTGTAACTGCATGTAAGTACTTTCTATCAGTGTCCGTGAAGTCAGAGCTAACTGGTTGACTGTTTGATACTGTTCTGGACAAGAGGTTGTGTGATAGTGACAGCAAAACTAATGCAAATCTGCTTTTAAACATTATCACACTACACCGAAAATCAGTAAAATCACCAAATGTATCAGGGACTGTTCCTCACTAAGTAACCAAACTTGTTTTGTATTGTGGTATCTGTGTTTTTCCAGGTACGCCTTCTCCAAGAACAACCGTCCCACCATGGTGCCCATTCCCAACAGCAATGTGTCCTTTGGCCAGGCCACCCAGATGAGCAGGAATGACATCAACAGGCTGAACAGGCTGTACAAGTGCTGTAAGTACTGTGGCTCCGCTGGATCCAAGACAAACTTATAGACTTCAGAGTCAGAGTCAGAGACACAGTAAAGCCCTTCTGATGCTCGGTGGGTCTCTTCCTACATAAGCACTGTAAGTTAGAAAAGAGTAATTGATAAAAGTATTTTCAGCAGAACCTGACCTGTTTAAATGTGTTCACTGCAGTGATGTCACATGACATAAAAACATTCACACAGTGAGCATCTGCCAAGTCCAACTTTTGTACTGTCCTCTAATGATATGCATTTCCTCTGCAGGAACTGTATGTGACCTTTGGCCTGCTGCCTGGATGACATCAGAGCAGATGATCTCATCTCATTCTGTTTACTATCACATAAGAAATAAACCATCAGTGTAAACAGCCTCTGATCAGGAAATAAGGCCACTTTCATTCTACTGTTACAACTCATCCATGTTCATTTAGCATAAAGACTGTAAACACAGGGAAAGCTAGCCTGGCTCTGTGCAACAGTTACAGTGCATATTGATTTACATGTTATATCTCCACTAAAAACAAGTATAAACAGTAATTTCACTGTTTCATCACTGTGTCCTTCTATTGAAAAAGTCAAACTAATACACATCACCTACATTCACACATCCACTGACTGGATGCTTATAAAAATCATTTCTTTGCTTCGACTTCAGATGTCATTTTCATAGGACTTTCAAGTGGTGATACTGCACACACATCAGTCACTATCAGTCAGTCTGACCTCCGACTTCTTTTACAATGGCACCATCTTTCTTCTAATGATGGATGAAGGTTATAATGTAAACTTCTCAGTTTCAGTTTGATGACGTTTATTTGATAAATCTTTGTTTTGATCCTCAGATAAAAAAAAAAAAAAATGAGCAGGATGAGCTGACTCTAAACGAAGCTGTGATCACTGTCTTTACACACTGTCACCTTCTCTGCTTCATATTTTATCACATTCAGTAAGTCAATTTATTCACCTCAACAAACATGATTCTTTTTTTGCATAATTTCATAAATCTTCTTTTTGGATAGTTGATTTTCATTCAGAGTTAATCTCAGTCTCATCTGATCTGTGGATCTTCTTCAGTTTGTCCTCCACTTTATCAGCAGTCAGGTTGAACTGACAGAGTCTGAGAGCTTCTATCAGCTGCTCCACTCGAGCCTGGGCTCCTTGACTCTTCCTCCACTCCTTCAGCAGCTCCACCACTGTCTCCTCCAGGTCTGTGGGATGCCTCCTGTTGATGGACTCCAGCTTGATCTCATTCAAACCCAGTTTGCGGCCGAGCTTACGCCACGACCGTCCCAGATTTTCTGCGATCACCTCTGTGGTGATGTCCAGTTTTGCTGAAAGAGGAGATATTCAGGCTTTAGAGAAAAAATAAAACATAACAAACATATTCAAACATCTCCCACAGGGGTGACTGGGAATGGGCTAATTTAGGAAACAGGTCTGTTCAGCTTCTGGATATGTGGAGTTCGATGTAGGACTTTACATACTGAGCTGATCTAAGCAGATCAGAAAGCTTACACCTTCTTAAACATCATATTCAAGGACTTTCCATGCCCAACTCCCTCAAAGTCAAGACCTAACATGTTTGAGACACGGATCAAAGTTAATTACTGTTACAGCACTAAGACTTTTTATAATGAGAGATAACAGCTTTACAGCAGATCACATACAATAAAAGAATGTGTGAACAATGTGTAGGGTGGCCCTGAGAGCTCAAAGCACTGCAGCTTTAGAAAAGACATGCAAATAGACAAAACACTTCAGAAAACATCTTCATCGGTTTGATAACACAACACTCTCTCTTACGCTTCTGTTGTGTTGTGAGTATTTGCAGCTCATGTGTTTTTTACCCCTCAAACAAGTTTATCAGAAAAAGATTTAAATTTGATTTGGAAAATTGTCATCTATGCAACACAAATGTAGAAACAACATAACACTTGTTCTCTGCCTATGACACAGTCCAAAGGGGGTCAGCCCTATGTTCCCACAGCCCTAAGAATGTTTTGAAAATTAGGCCCTATTTTCCCACAGTCTTATATGTTCCCATAAGCCCATGTCCACACTAACCCGGGTAATATTTATCCGGTTAGCCCTTCCGTCCACATTAGAACGGTGAATTCCAAAACTGAAAACGATGCTTTACAAAAACGATCGCTGAGGTGGATAAATGTGAAGACGCCGTGGAACGTGGATGCAAAGCGTTCTGAAAGGGTATAAAATGGGAATATAGTACTGTGGGAACATAGGGCTGTCGGAACATAGACACGCTCCCGTCCAAAGCCTGTGGAGGTCTGTGCATGATTGGCTGATTTCTAAATCCATAAATATAGATTCCTTCTCTTTCAAAAGTATCCAGTTAGGAGTCATTGTGAAGGACAAGCATGTTGAATTTTGAATCAACATCATCATTGTCATCATGACAAAATATCATATACACTGATGTTGTTTTGCTAAATGCCCCCTGTTGTGGACTGCACTTAAAAGTGGGCAGAGAACTTTATAATCTTATTTCCAAATATAATTTATTTCAACCCCTTGCTCGGTTCCTTAGTTCTACTGAGCATCTGGTTAATAAATCAACCTTCTGTTTTTTTTTTAATACTCTTTTATAATTTCTATTGTTACCTGGGAATGTTACAGTTCATGTTTTATAACTTTTTTCTTTCTCTCTCTCTCTTTGTGTTTATTGTATTATTACTTGTATGCATTTTACTATCATTATCAGTATTATTATTATTATTTCTAAACAGAAAATGTTTTTTGTACAGAACATACTCTACATGATGTATGAAGTTGAATAACATTTTTTAAAATGGCAGTGTGCAACAACAAGGTTGCTATTGTTACTGCAACATGTTTACAACATAAATATTTGACTTAAAAAAAGTTATTCTGTCTGGGCGTTTCCTCTGTGGACATGCCAGGGCAGGTTCACGCAGGTTCTCACACACACACACACACACACACACACACACACACACACACACACACACACACACACACACAGATTCCCTTAATACATTGCAGCTTGCGCCTGTAGCTGCGTTTGTTTTCGACTTTCGGTAAACTGACGTCATACTTAAGATAACAGTATACTTCCGGTATCAGTTAGCCCAGTCCACCTGTGTCACAACTCATATACTCATGTATCAGTCTTCTTCTTCTTATCATTATTATTATAATAACTTGTTTTTAACAGAAGTAGTAGCAGCACTAGCAGCCGGTAACCCCCACCCCTCCCGCTCCCCACCTCTCTCTGTGTCGTCCGGCTGGTCTCGGCGGTCTCCGGATTCTCCGTCTAAACCGTGTAACTTGTCTGACAGGTCTTTTCGCTCAATGTCCGTGAGCAGCTTGGACAGACACTCGGTGTTGTCGGGCCCCAATTTGCCTCTCTCCATCAGGAGCAGGAACAGCTTGGACCCGGTGGTTACCTTCTCCAGGTCCTTTTTCCCGATCATGTCTCCACACAGGAACTTCATCTTGTCCAGGTTCTCGGAGGACAGTTGGTCTGAGATCTTCAGTAAGACGGGTTTAAGGTCTGAGGAGCTCATGTTTCTCACAAGACTGCACCTCGATCTGATCTCTCTGAACTAGGAAACACTTCGCTGTCACTTTCACTTCCGTTTCTGTCTGTGAATTTATTCTTCACTGGCTCCAGCGAGACTCTGTGAGAGGTTGTCACGGACTTGATCCAGTTCCTAATTTTATGTTCACCGTTGGACTGAACTTAAGGACTGTTCACAGAACAGTTTGCAAATGAATTTAGAATCAGATAATGTGCATCGATACTAACACTGTACAAACAGGCTACTTTTACAGTCTGTTAGGGGGCCCGGTTTATCACATAAGTCCTGTGTTCAATACCTGCATATACGCTCTAACTCTGGTGAGGTATTTGACCCTGGGGAAGACCCAGGACACGCTGGTGAGATTATGTCTCTCAGCTGCTTTGGGAAGTCCTCAGAATCCCCCTGGAGGACCTGGAGGAAGGGGTGGGGGCAGGGGGCCGTCTGGACAGCCCTCCTGACTGCTGCCCCCTAGTCTTCTAAAGGAATGAGAAGTAGAAAGTGGATGGATGGCAGATGATAGTTTAATAAATTATAATGATAAATCTGATATTTTAAGTGCAGTGGTGGAAATTATTGATGAAATCAGAGAGAAACTGGCTTAAAACAGTCTTTTCTGTCCAGTGTGTGTATTCGATGTTGTATTGCTTTATGTAGTATGGTTTTAGTTGAAATGAATGGGAGGACTTTGCTCTTTACCCTCTGGGCTTTCTTCCTTTCCTGCACAATTAATATGTCTTATATAACTTTGTAATACTTTATTGTAACGTCTGTGAAACTAAACTTAACTAAACTAAATTAAACTAAAAATACAAATTAAATAAATAAACACAATAAATACAGCTATAAAATAAATCCTGAAATAAATAGATTAGGTAATAAATGTAGAAAAAAATGTACATATAAATATAAGTGAGTCAATAAATAAATAAATAGCTTTATGATTAAATTAATAAATGAAAACGCCCTTATGTCCTTTGAAAAATTTGTGATCCCACAAGCACATTTGTTCAAATATTTCCAGATAAGAAGTTTCATTCGCTCGAGGACTCTCTCATATCATTGTCCAGCTTTAAGTATTGTTGAGGAACTGGCAACATGATAATTTATAGAACATACATACAACATAATTTATAGGAAAGTTGTTAATGTGTCTCCAGAATCCTTAAATTATAAAAGAATGGCATGGATAGAGGATCTTCAGACAGATATTAGAGAAAGAATGGGAAAAGGCTTTTCTTCAAGCTCCAAAGTTATCTATTCATAGTAGATATAAATTAATTCAATATAATTGGCTTATGAGGACATACGTGACTCTAGAAAAACTAATAAATACAATTGTATAAAATGTAGAACAGAGAATGTGGAGGTGCAAATATATACAGGATTTTTGGAAAGAAATACTTACTTACTAAATTACTGTAAACAAATAACCCATGTCATCATTAGTTCTTGTGCTACATTGATTTAAGTGTAACTGTAAATGTACTGTATTTATTATGTCCACCACACCACTGTGTTTACATCCTGTTGAGTCCAGTGAAACCTGGACTCCTGCACCAGGACAGCACTTCATTAGTTTTAGCTTGTTGTCTTTTGATTCAACACAACTTTATTAGAAATATGCATCATGTGAACAAGAGGTGTTGACAATAACCATGATATTTAAAAGATGAAATATTGATATGGTGTTAATAATACACATATGTGATGATATGGTGACGGCAGATGTTTGACCTCGCAGATCTTCAGTTCATCGGTTGATCTTGTCCATTAAGTGTAGTTGTAGTTTTTGTACAGTTGTGATCACAGACTGTCTCCACCTCCCTCCACTCTCATCTGAGTCTGAGTTAAAGATTCATTTGACTCATGGCATTATTTTTTTCCCAGGTTTTCTATAGATATCATGATAATATTGTTATAGGTTTTTACACAAGTTCAGCTTACAAAATGTTGCCACAAAAAAAGATTATAAAAAAACCATTAGTTAGTAGATTAATAGAATGAACTGAAGCAGCAGCAGGTGAAATGCAGTAGTTTTAATGAAGGCTTACAGACCAGGAGCTTGTCACTCATTTATTTAAAGAAAAAACACTCAAAGTATCAGAGACAGGCAGGTCTGTTATACGTACATATACACTCATGCATGTAGTGAAATGTGCACTGACACACATTATAATAGATATTAGCATGTCACACTTTGTAATGATATATTGATGCTGTAAATACAACATGGCAACAGACGGCAGGAGGAGGACATGGAGAGGGGAGGGGTCTTCACATGTGACCTCAGTTTACAAGAGATGCTGAGTCATGACCTATCACTAAATATCAACACTAACCCTACGTACAGACACAGTATTAACAGTATTAAGATTTGCTAAAAAAAATTCAATGTGCAGTTTTTGCTCAAACAAGCAAGTCACCCCCCAGAGAGAGGTAACGTCTGTCTGGAAGCTGTTCCCCGGGTGCCCTTCCAGGTACAGTGGAATAGGTCCATACTGATGCTTTAAGACATGAGATAAAGTCCCTAGTTGGTAGATTGATGGTCCCCTTTCAACACATTAGATGCACTAAAAATACATTGTCATAAAACTAAAACACAAACAAACAATAAAATAGATAAACAACAGTTTGACCTTAATGTGATTATTCATGACTGAAATTCAATAATACATTCTGTCAGTCTGGGCTGTGGGCCTCAATTTGGGATAGTTCAAAATATTTACAGCAGGGGGCAGTATTCAACAGTATTCGACTGAAGACCAGACTGGATGTGTGACTGCACGTCTCAATCAACAGTACATTTACGCTCTTCAAAGTTCTATCCAGTCGCTCCCACATGTGTTTTTGCAGTTTGGTAAATACCAAAAAAATACATATATAATATTCACTCTTTGTGCTTGAACAGTTTAGGAGCTGCAGCTTCAGGAAAATGCCAAGGCAACATAATAATAATGAAACAGAGCTGCCCTCTTGGTTTCACTGATACTCTGTCCCTTTGTATGAAAGCTGATACATGAGCCACTGATGGTTTAGAGTAGGTGAGAGGTCAAGTGTTTGAATCCCAGAAGCAGGTAGGACAGGATAAGGCAGGGTAGGAGAGACACCTGGAGCAACATACTGGTGCTGGTGTGCAGAGATGTTGAGAAATTCACAGAAAACTAAACACAAAGTCCCTTTAAATGTAAATTTCACATTGATATGCAGGTATGACGAGCACATTCAGTTCACCTGTCAGCACACCTGTGCCATAAATATCTTTCATCTACAGGTGCTAACTGAGCACTGAGCAGCTAGTGCTAACTGCTGTGTGGGGAAAGGATTGAACTTATCAAAATCCTCTGATGATTAAAACTGAGTGTCTTAACAACACAAAAAGGTGTGAGTGGATTTTATGACACTGGACACATTGTCACCTTTTAGGTTGATATGACATTTATACATCAACCAGCCAGTAGTTTGGAGGCAGGTTGATGATCATTTAAAAACTTGTTGACTATTTTCTAACATGTTTTGTGCTTCTTTTGCTGATGAAATAAAAACTGTTAATGCAGCTTTAACAAACACTATTATTATTTCATTTCTGACTGTGTAGAAGAGATGTCTCTCCATACCCAGTGTCAGAACAGCACATCAGGTGAGTAGTAACTACAGCATCTCAGCCAGGTGAGAGGGAGCATGACATCATAACATCACTGTGTATTTATACTGTGAATTTCCAGTTCCAGGCATGAAGCTGCTGAGCATTGTTCGTCTGTTTGTTCGTATGCAACACAAAGAGAACACTACAAATCAACAGGCAGGCCTCCACAACAACCAGAGCACTTGTGTCTGTGTGTCCATGTTCAACTAAATACATCAGTAAATTCCTGCATTTGTACAGAAATGTGCCAAAAAAGATTTCAAAAAAGGCCAGTCTGAGCTTTACGCTTTACGCCAGTCTGAGCTTTACGTGTTGACGGCAGGAGGGGGGACACTCTCCTCAGCAGCACCATCTGGACGGACTGACGGAGGCAGAAGCTGCATTCAAGTTCCGTGGGAGAAGTGGCACATATGAACTCAGGCTGCAAGTTTGGCACTGTGTTCTCAGACATCCTGAAGGTTCTCATCAACAGGGACATTCCCCGAGTGAAGCTAATGGCTTGTTCCTTTCAATTACATCCAATAATCATGTTTCTGTGAGTACTGTGTGGATGTTTGGTTGGTGGCTGACACTGTCATGTCTGATTCGCAGTGAAATGTAACAAACAAATTTTAAAAAGAGGCAATCTGTGGGAATTCAGTTCAGGTTTTACCCGTCTGAAAATATTCCTGAACATCGTGACGGCAGCAAAAGCTTTGCTCATTATGACAAACTGATGACGTGTTAATAGATGTACTGTGTTAACCTTTAGCAGCCAGCTATAAGCAGCTGATTCACTTATTTACAGTCTGTGTACAGGTCCTGGTGTTTGCTTGTTGTTTGTGCTTTTTTTCTCAGACCCTGGCACCTACTGGTTTAACAGCAGTTAGAATGCGAGACGGGCCGTGAGCGGGGTTGCGGCGGGCTCTGATTGGCTGATGAGGGGGCGGTGCAGTTGTCCCCGTTGTGGTTGTCCCGCGCTGCGAGTCTTTTGCCCTGCTCCTCCTTCATGAAGAGCTCCACCATAAGGATCTTCTCTTTGTGCATCTGTAGGCTGATGTCCTTGGGGATGTCTGGGATCAGCCAGTCCACAAAGTCACTCATGAGCATCACCACGTTCTGCAGAGTGAACAGAGACCTCAGATGAACCGCAGGTTCACTGCCACAGTAACAGTAACTATTAAACAGTATGTTTAAATCCTGTTTTACTTACTGATGAACTAAAACTGTTTATCTGTGACCTGCTGTTGTGTAGCGGCAATATTTAAAGTTTGCTCACATTAACCACCATAAGCTACTGATCATACCAGACGGAGAACAGCTGTGGCTTTAAAACTCCTGACTGTACTGAACTGAGTATTTTATGGCTTATGAAGTAAACTTTTCATTTATAAGAAAATGTTCAACAGTGTCACTTTAATTTGTAATTCTACATTTACACATTTAAGCCAACCAAATCCTGCAAGGTTGGATGGTGGGTCCAGGTAGGTGGAACTTGGGGCGTGGCTGAAGGCGGCGACTGATTTGTTGTGACATCACAAAGTTTCAGAAGTCCTGACGGCTGGCTTTAAGGCTCAGTTTCTAAATATAGGCTGTGTGCATTTCTCTGTGGACTGAGGCTTTGATACTTTCACAGTATTAATATAGAACCTAGACCTGATCTATAATCAAACAACACGTGGACTCTATGGAGCTTTAAGGTTTCACACTGGAGTTTAAAACATTAACAACCTCAGCTTTTCTTGTTTCAAGTAAAATACCTGAGCTTCCAAAAATATAGAGGCCATGAACCAATGAAAACAAATACAACACAGCCATAATATATATTATATATTATAAAAACATTTTGATTAGAGTTTTTTTCATGTTTATCAGAAATAGAGACTAATTTCTGTCGGGAAAATTAATACATAAAAACTTTAATAGTAAAGGTAAAAGTCTCATGAGTAACTCCCTTTTATAGTAACTCAAATCTTTGACTTAGGTTTTTGTGGTAATTATTTAGTATGTCATAATAAAATGATTTTAAATAATTAGTTAAAAACCTAGACACTGTGAACGACATGTAGCAGTGTAAAAATCAACTCATCATTGCTCTCTTGTGGACAAACTAAAGGTCACAATGTGTCTAAAAGTGAGTGACATGCCTATTTGAAAGCATGTAGAGGTGTATAGTATGTGTGTGTTGAGTGTTGTGTTGTTCTGAACCTGAAAGACAATGACAAAGGCGAGGCGGGCTGCCAGGATGGCCCAGAACTCTTTAGAGAGTTCATATGGAGAGCTGGACCAAGGGGGCTCTCTGTAGTCCTTATATCTGGAGAGAGGGGAAACATTTAAAAGGTTTCATTTGATGCTTTGGAGTTTGACAGGTGTCCATGTTTTTACCTATCATGGTCTCCACAATGAGAAATGATGACTCTGTATGGTAGTACATGCACTCATGTAAATGCCACATGGTTTTATGCGAGATAATGAGTATTGTTTGAGAGGTTTTGGAATGAGAATGTAAGCAGACTCAGTGTATTTTCAGGGTTTTAAACTGAACCCCTACCTGCAGATTTCCACTTTGTAGCCCAGGTGCATTGGCTGCAAGGGGTCAGTGCCTGGCTGGAAGTCAGTAACATTGAAGTAAGACAGAGTGTGGTTGACGAAGCCGTGCATGGTGCCATCAGGACTGTACATGTACTGGTAGACCAGCCGAGGGATGAAGTCAGAGGTGAAGGAGATGACGAAGGCCTGAGGGAGATACAACAGCTCATAACCTGCTGTCCTCATCAGATCTAATAAACTGTGACTCCTCTACATTTCTTCCATCAGGTGACACTGACTAAATAAACATTTTCAATTCATGTGCATTTTCCAGCTATGTGGAAGTCTAAGGATGATCAAACTATGACGTATGGGCCATGTGTGGCCTGACAACTATATTTATATGGCCCTTAGTTATTGTTAAACCAAAATTCTATGTGGCTCTGCTGAATACACTAAATGCAGTTCTCATTGTGAACACTAGATGTCACCATCGCTACACATGTAGATGACTGCTTGCGTGCTCTTTCTCTTCTGGTCTACTGCTCTTTCTGTACTCCCTGCCTGTTGGAAATTCATGTGCAATACAGGAACATAATCTGCCACTTAGATGTGTACTGGTTTAGACCTGAGACAGTTCTGTTGCTTCTCTGCTCTGAGATCTGGATCTGAACCATTTTTTGAAAGAGAGATCACATACTGAGCACCCTGAGTGTTTGGCAGACCTCACTTTTTTAGTTGATCTCACTGACCATCTGAACATGTTGACTAAAAGCTTGCAAGGAAATGATGAGCTTGTGTCACAAATGTGTACAATCCACACATGTAAAATCATTTGTTATGAAGCATCAACTTTTCTTTGACAAATCAGTGTGAGAAATTATCTCCAGCTTGCCAAACACCAACATTTCTGTAAAAATGGGGAAATATGTCTCATCCCTCATCAGAATTTAACCAGTGCTTGAAAATCTCCACTGATGACACTGAACAAGAGCTGACTGAGATCCAGGATGACACCCTCTCCCTGATAAATCTCCATTACAAGACTTCCACCTGACCTGACAGCAACCCCTCAGTCCTAACATGACTGATCCCATTAACAACAGTTGTGTTTTTACTACTGAGGGATAGAGTTACTGCAGATTCAAGTGTACAGCACAAAGAATTTAAAATTTAGCGTGGACACACCTGTGTTCAGATTTCAACTGTAAAGTGATTATAAAGATTTATATATATATATTATATATATATATACTTACATTAACAATGACTGCTACCTTGCTGAGGCCTCTCAGGAGGTTGTACCAGATACCTGCAGAGAGGAGAAAACAGTCATCTCAGGGACAAGACACAGCATGTTGGGGAGGACTTGTGTGATCTGCTTCCTGTTTATTGTAGTTGGGACAGCAGACACCTACCAATGTCTTTGGCTTTGACTGCGATTGGCCTTCGTAGCTCCATGACAAACTTCTTGGCATCCAGGCGAATCTCGATGATGTTGTTCAGAAGAGCAAAGAGCGGAGCCAAAGGGAAGGAGGCCACGAACAGAGTCACCATCCCAAACTGAATGACTACAGAAACAGACAGGAGGATAAGAGAGCATCCTGGGTGAACACAGTCAGGACACACATAACTCAGCTGTGGAACGCTAAGCTGTGATCCGCCAAGTTTGGTTGAAATTAGATTTTGACATGTGACCAAAGCTAAGTTAAAAAATGTGTGCAAAGGTGAAGAATACCTTTGAATATGAAACAAGAGAGGGACTAAACCTATAGTCCATGTCCGGACTGTGTGTGGTCAATGTGTGAAACTGAGGACGTGATTGAAAAATATTATGGAACAGCTGTAAACAACTACTGTCAAAGAAAGGGGAAATGCAAATGTTGCTGGATGATGTAAAATGCTAATTAGAATATTCATCACGTTATATTAGCATTCTACTTAGTGTCAACTGGATTCAGCTCTTTATCTGTCTGCTTCTCCCTCTGTGATCACACATACAGTGTTTTAATGCAGAAAGCAGCTCAGGTTTGTCCAAATGTCACAAGATTTGTCACTAAGTGCTTTTTAGAAAAAAAACGCCTATGCTCAATTGTTGATTTTATAACTGTGACGTTGTCTTACAAAATCACCAAACACATACATGAAAGACAAAGACTGAGCTGTGATTTCAGCTGGATTTACTGTAACATGGTCAGAGAGAAAGTTTGGGCAAAGTCTAAGCCTGCTCTGACACATACTCCACCAGGTGAACCACAGGGGCCCGGTACAGACTCTCTTTCTTATTCAGTCTCTCACGCAGAGCACAGCCTCTGTCTGGATCCACAATAGTTTAGCCTTTCTTTACTTCAACTCCAGAACGCAACAGACTTTTATTAGAGGCAGGTCTTTATGTCTAACTCCCTCTGTTTGATATGTAGAGTTGGTCATAGTTGATTGTACGAAGCCTCGTTACCGATGACTTCTCTCTCTCTCCCTCCCTCTCTCCTGCTCTCTCTGCTCGGTGTGTTTTATGTTTAGTTATTCCTCTGCCTCCTTTAGTAATAATGATACATGGAATGAAAGTAGTTTATTTGCTGTAATGGAGGCGAGGCTCAGTGTATTAGAAGTGCTCCTCATCTTCCCTGCAGTTCCTGAGCAGCTGGGAAACCAGAGTGGCTCAGCACTCCACTGACCAGTGGTGGAAATATCATCGACCAGTCAGTCAGTCAGTCATACATATTCCTGGCCTCACTGTTGTGGTCCAGCCACAAAGGCAGGACTCATATGTCCCCACTTCTTTTGCATATAGGTTTTTTTTGTCTTATTAGCCACCTGATGCTATGATGTCAACACAGAGCACGGCACATACAGTAATATGGTACAACTGATACCAAGAGGTGACTTTATACTTCTACATATACAATTCAACATCTGTCAGAAGAGCAACATTAACCCACTAACCATCTAACTCTGCATATGTTTAAACCTGTACTTTCTTTATCATCACCAAGAGTGAAAACAAGTAAAACACAACAGGGATTTCCTTCATACTAATTTAATCTAGGCCCCACTGCCACTCTCATTCACTGTCCGTTGTGTCTGCTGTATAGATTATCTGTGGAGAAGATGGATGGAGCAGCTTCTGTAGAGCTGTACTGAGCAGAACTGCAGGGTGGAGCTCTGGAAGCTGGACTAGTAAATCTCAGCTACATTAAAGATGCAATCATTAATGTTTTGGCTACTTGGGAGCAGCAGAACAAACATTTTAAAACTGTTGTTAGAAAACAGCTGCCTCTGGTCAGATCCAGCAGACACAGAGAAACATTAATTCAGAGCAGTGTTTCTCAAATTTTTTCAGACCATGGACCACTAAAATAAAACTCACGGACCACCTAATTCCCCTAAACCCTGAGGTTGTATTACTTCTGTAGTATTGTGGTAAGCTTGTGCACATTACTGGGAGAGGTTTTTTCTCTTTTCAGGCATTTAAATGCCTTTATTGGATTGAACAGTCAAAAGAGACAGTAACGGCGATGGAGAGTAGGAAAATGACACGCTGAAAAGAGTCCAACTGGCCGGGAGTCGAATTGGGAATTCTACTCAGAAAATTTGTGTCCCTTTGGTATGCGCCCTAACCAGTCGGCTATCTGATCGCAATAATGTGGAACAACGTGTTTGATAGTTAACAGGCTGCTGATAACTGGTGAAATTGAACACGGTCCCAGGGCAGGCTAACTGTTAGCTTCACATTTCTTTTCAAATGTCACGCTGTGAACAACCAATTCAAAAGTTTGAATTTACACATTTCATTTAATATTGAAAACAACACATATACAATACTCACTACCAGGCTTTGTGGTCACTCAGACAGTTTAGAGTCATGTGTCTGGAATTATGACCAGAAATCTTTAGGAAGGCACCCTGGTGGCTCACCTGGTAGAGCGCATACCACTTAGGCTCAGTCCTAACCGCAGCAGGCCGGTTTCAAATCCAGCCCGGGCCCTTTACTGCATTTCATCTCGACTGCCTCCCATCTTTCCTGTCACTCTCTCACAGTCCTTATCACATTAAAGGGAAAAACTGGCCACATAAAAATAAATCTGAAATAAAAAAAAAAGAAAATCTCCAGCTACAGTTCACTGTTTATATAATGTTAGCAAACAGTATTTTTGGATTCGTCATCTCTGCAAATGAATGACCCTGGCATAAAATGAAGCTTTCTCACTAAGTTGTTTTTCTGTAATCAAAACCTCCAGTTGGCTTCACTGTTGTGCCTCATTACGTTTCGAGCTAACCTGTGTTTTGTTACACCTGAGTTTGCCCTAAATGAGCATGGAAACTTAATCTGACTGGACTGTTGTCCTTCTAATGATTTGTTAATTTTCACCTCTGAGGATTCAGCACACATCAGCAGATACCAGAGTTTATAATGTAGATCATGTTTGTGTCCACTTGGTGAGTTTCAGCAAAGTATTTACTCATCTTTTAGCTCTGTTTTGATCCCATGGGTCTTGAGAAGACAATAGTGTATCTGGATCTTTAGTCATATGATGCCTCACTTTGTATTTTATTGGAAACAGCTGCTGAGTGAAATAAAACTAAAACAATGACCTAAAAGAGGCTGAAAGCTCCACAGAACTGAGAGGAGCGGCAGCCTGGAGGATAATTCTCTGTAGGTGTCTCACTGAGAGTGACACCTTCATATTACACATTTGATCTATTGTATAAAAATATTGATACAGATACAGATTTTAAGTCATCATCCATGACATTTTCATATACTGTGCATTGGGCATCAAAATTTTAAACAATTCCTTAGTTAATAAAGATGAGTGACATAATCATCAGCACCATAACTGAGTGTTTCCACCTTGAACTGCAGTGAACCAATGACATAAAAAAAGATTCAGACAGCCAGGGTTTCATACGTCACAAACCTAAGGAACCAATCCTGTCAACTTGTGGCTGAGTCTGGGTCTGACTGAGGCTCAAACATGTGGCTGAGTCTCTCTAATGTTTCCTCCTCTAACCATCTTGATGCTCTCTGCTCGTTCACCTGTCCACCTGCTTGGACAACATACATACATATCAGTGGTGGCTGCTGGTCTTATAATGAGGGGAAGCTCATTTTCGGCCTACATCATAAAATGTGTCCGTTTATTTATATGTAAATTCGCAGTGACAGAAGAGAGTCGCCAAACACAATGCTAGTCGTTTTTAACAAAGACAAAGTCACTGAGGATCAGTAACGTCTCCAGATCAACTCCGAACAACAGAATGAAAAACTTGAAAAATGCTCTGGTGGATGCTTAAACTTCAATACCGCTGATTCGCTCATTTCGCTGTCAATCAAAAAGGGACTCAGCCTCAGACAGATCATCCAATCATCATGCAGAAGCCGAGCGTCCGGGCCAGACCACTGTCCCATAGACCCCCAGAGACGCTGAGCGTCCGATGGGCGGGACAAAGCCCAGCATTTATCCAATGACCGTCTAGTTTCGCTGCAGTGGAACAACCCACTCTATGCTTCCCCATTGAAGTCAGTAGACGCTCGGCGTCTACACTGTGTAAAGCTCTGTGGCGCTGTGGGGATGAATGAGAAGGAAGTCGTGTCGGTTACCTGTCATAAGTAGCTGATTCTGAACAAAAGATGAACGTGTTCTAGCGTATATTTAGTCAATGAAATGTTCACACAACAGTACATATTTGACCACTTATTTTTTTGACATTTTAGGGGAAGCTGAGCTTCCCTTGCAGTCTTAGAGCAATCGCCACTGATACATATACACTACCCAAAAAAATTAAGCGAACACCTAAATCACACATTGGATCTTGATGAACAAATTATTCAAGTTGAAAATCTTTACTGATGTACATTGTATAATTTGTTGAAAACAAAATAACGTATCAACGGTCAATGGAAACCAAAATCATCAACCCACTGAGGGCTGGATTCACAATCACACCCAAAATCAAAGTTAAAAATTTAAACCACAGGCTGATCCAACTTGTGTGAATTTCATCACGGCATCTCAATATGTGTCTCAGTAGGTTGTATGGCCCCCATGTGCCTGTACGCACTCCTGACAACATCTGGGCATGCTCCTGATGAGTCAGCAGATGGTGTCCTGGGGGATCTCCTCCCAGACCTGGATCAGGGCGTCAGTGAGCTCCTGGAGTCTGTGGTGGTACTTGGCGGAGTCAGATGCACCGATACATAACGTCCCATAGGTGCTCAATTGGATTTAGGTCAGGGGAACGTGAGGGCCAGTCAATGGCCTTCATCATCCAGGAACTGCCTACACACTCTGGCCACATAAGGCCTGGCGTTGTCCTGCACCAGGAGGAACCCAGGGCCCACTGCACCAGCATAAGGTCTGACAATCGCTCTGAGGATTTCATCCCGGTACCTAACAGCAGTCACGGTACCACTGGCTCTGACATGGAGGTCTGTGTGACCCTCCAAGGATCTGCCTCCCCAGACCATCACTGACCCACCGCCAAACCGCTCATGCTGGATGATGTTACAGGCAGCATAACGTTCACCACGGCGCCTCCAGACTCTTTCACGCCTGTCACATGTGCTCAGTGTGAACCTGCTCTCATTGGTGAAGAGAACAGGGCGCCAGTGGCAGACCTGACAGTTCTGGTGTTCTCTGGTGAATGCCAATAGAGCTGTAGGGTGCTGGGCTGTGAGCACAGGTCCCACTAGAGGACGTGGGGCCTCATGCCACCCTCATGGAGTCTGTTTCTGACAGTTTGGTCAGAAACAAGTACACCAGTAGCCTGCTGGAGGTCATGTTGTACGGCTCTGGCCGGTCTCCTGGTATCTCCTCCATGCTCTTGTGACTGTGCTGGGAGACACAGCAAACCTTCTTGTGGCCGCACGTATGGATGTGCCATCCTGGAGGAGCTGGACTACCTGTGCAACCTGATTGGGCTGCAGGTACCGCCTCATGCTACCAGTAGTGACAAGGACACTAGCAAAACACAAAACTAGAGAAGAATCAGTCAGGAAGGATCAGGAGAGAGCCACTGTCTGTGGACACCACATGTAAAACCATTCCCTTTTTGGGGGTTGTCTTGCTTTTGCCTCCATTGCACCTGTTGTCACTTTCATTTGCACCAAAGCAGCTGAAACTGATTCACAGTCACTTGTGCTTCCTAAATGTACAGATTGATATCCCTGAAGTTTAACTGACTTGGTGTTATACTGTGATGATTAAGTGTTCCCTTAATTTTTTGAGCAGTGTACATATATGAAATACACCATAACAAAAATAACATTAATAAAAAAGAGGGGAAGAGGGAAGAAAGAAGAAAAATGGGGGAGGAAACGTGAGGAAGAAGGGGAGGGGTTACTTTCTCTTAGTGACTGAAAGTCAATCAATTGTCATTACTTTAAAGGATAATTGCTCCAAATGTTAATGTGTTATATATAGTGAGGCGTTGCTGTATTCATGCTCTGCTGGTCACAGCTAAAGGTTCAGGAGCTGAATGCAGTGAAGCTGCTGTAGTAATCTTTCTGTTAAATGGTGAATATTGATCAAGGACCTGAAGGCTGTAATCTCTCTGGAGTGATTGGATCAACTGCTTATTAATACAAATCCTAAAAGACCCATTTGTTTCCATGAGCCAAAGAAAAACCTTTAATCTACTGATTGTCCTTAAACGCACACATAGGATGATTTACTAAAGCTTTGCGTGTGTAAAAACGTGCGCAAACGCGACAGCACGCGCAAACACATGTTGATGCTAATTTGCTTTTGCGCTTCCGTTGGGTCTGCTCGTTTGCATTCGCCACGGTGAACACCCTTAACTCGCGCAAAGTCCTCATTTAAATAGGGCCGGCTCGATCACTTTTGCGCCTGTAGTCAATTGCGTTGTTAATCTAAGTAAATCACCCGCAAGCCCCAAACAGGCAGCGCGCGCAATCTATCCGTGTGCGCACGCAATTTAGCGCTCTTTATTTGGGATCTTAGTAAATCAGGCCCTTAGTGAGATGTGTGGTGCACATGAAGCCGAGGCTTCCACATCACTGTCTGATGCTCTGGATCCTGTAAAACTGGATTTATTTATTGAAGGTGAACACAGTGATCCTCAGCAGGGAGAGTAGTTTGTTTTTGGCTGGTCTTTATCAGAGGACAGTGTTTCCCTGAAGCCAACAAACAGTGCTGAACAGAGCTGACATTTACGAAGCAGACAAAGGTCAGGCATAAAGCAACAGCAGAGAAACAGGAACCGCCAACCGTGTTGGTGTGTAGACCCTGAGCAGGGATCATGGATCAGGAATCAGCAAGTTCACGAGTCTATGCACTAATCTAATACCACGTAATGTGTTGAAAAACTATAGTTTCACATCCGCATCAAACAGCAGTTTTCTTGGAAATCAATTCTTTTTCTCTGCTATAAAACACCTCTGCTGTGCAGCCACTGTTAACTACTGTAATAGATCAGAAAAGAAGAATTTTTATTTCTGGTAAATAGTATAACAATAGCTGTTGGCCAAAGTCACGAATAAGACCTGCACCTACTGAGTGTTTCTGTTTTAACCAACATAGCTTTTCTACCAGCACCTACTGTTTCCTGACAGCAATGCTCGGCCACTCAGAGTGTCACCGCCTGCTGATGTAAATTTAAAGCCAGCAGTTTAATTTGTTTTTTTTCTGTTTTTGTGTTAGTGCAACACAGCACCATGAATAAAGGAACATTTAAGTTTCTCCGTGTTGGAATATGCGTAATGCTTTTCAAATGACATTATGCATTATGATATTCATTTTCTCATGTCAGAGACAATATTCAATAACAATTCATAAAGCTTGATGAAACTTTCTTACACGTGTGTGTTTGTATTTAGACTCACTCATCTCCATGTACTCAGGACTGAGGCCAACAAAAGGACCCAGCAGGTGGTCTTTCTCGTGGCGCTGCAGGGTTTTGTTCAGCTCCTCCTCTTCCTCTGAGTCCAGCTCTGACTTCCTCTTCCTCAGCAGCTTTTTCAGCTTCCTGCACCAACCACCAGAGGTGGAGAGAAAACATTCAACTGCGTTACTACAGACTGCTACATGCTGGATTCATAACATTTACACACATTCGTAGTAAAAAAAATGACATCAAACATCTTTGGATGTTCTGCATTTGTTAGGAAGTTATGTTTTCACCCATGTCTGTCTGTCTGTTGGTTTGTTTGTCAGAATTACACAAAAAAGTCCTGAACTGATTTGAACCAAACTTGGTGGAGGGATGGGACATGGACCAGAGAAGAACTCAGTACATTTTGGTGCAGATCCAGTAAAAGGGGCAACATTTTTAATCCCTTTCCTTAAAATGGTAAGACGGGACATCTGTCCACATTTTCACAGTGTCTCAGGAAATGATGTTTGATGTAAATAAACAGACATGTTGATGGTGAGTGAGCCTTTCCTGTTTACTGCTTTTTAGAGTATTAGACTCATATGATTTTAATAACTGTACTTTTACATGGCCAGAATATTCTCCTTCAAGGTACCAGTAGAGTTTCCCAGAAATGACAAACAAGTGACCTGTAAAAGCTGCTCTGACTCAATAAACCAATAAAAACTTTAAAACCTAAAAAGGAATAGGACAACCAGAATGATGACGACATGGCGAACACAATGTTATTGTACATACATTTGTCTTAGTTATATTTTCATCCATTTCTGTATCAAACTTTATTCAGAGTGACAGTGAGGTGTTTCAGCTCAAATGGAGAAAGTCTGAACATCTGTACATGATACGACACATCTGGACGACAGGTTCTCTTAAATCCACTGTACAGTCATTTACAGTAAGAATGAATGTGTCTGTATGAGGAGCTCTAGCATGAGGCCCAGTGTGTTTTGATGGGAAACTAAATGTCAGAAAACTCAGCAGTGGATCTTTAACTGAGCTCATTCATTAGAGAAAAAAGTGGGTTTTTCCACAACAGCCAATTTCCATCATAGGAAGTTTAGTGTGTCTATACTCAGTACAGTACAGTCCAGAGGACGACAGACGTGTCTTTACCTATAGGTCATTTTTAACTTTTATCTGCATGTTTACAACATTAGTTTCACTTTGACTCATGTTTTAAAGGGGGCTATATTTCCCCACTGTCTGACACTTCAAATTCCACGACTTATCAATGTCTTTCCAGGCCCATTTCCCTCAAATTCAAGGACCCAACATAGCATAGTTTAGACACAGATCCAGGTTAATTATTGTTACAGCACTAAGACTTTTTACACTGAGAACCAGCACCTTTACAGAGGCTCACTGTTGAAGAGAGACAGAGGCTGCATGTGTGAACACAGTGATACAGACGGCCTCTCTCAGAACAATATACTGTGTAAGTGTAACATACATTTATATCATATGAACTTCAGTTTCTATATTTGAACTAAATATATAATATATATACATTCAATGACATGAGGCTTTGATTTTTTGTGGACTTTTCTGTGGACTGTACACACAGTACAGTAAACTCTGATGGAGTTAACTGTGAGGACGAAGCAGAACAGAGAAAATTGCAGGCTGCCAGGGTTCAGCAGGTATGTCTGGTTCCCAGGTAAGTGTGTCTGAAAAGCAGACAGGCGTTTAAATGGCTGCTCTCTGAGTGGGTGTGCATAATTTGCTCTGTGGCTCTGAACCCACGTATTGTGATATGTTGCTCAACTCGTCCCCTGTGTGCTGGTGTCGTGGGTCTGTGTTAGAACATGCTGCTTGGTGTACGCTCTGCACTCACGGTATGCCGATCTCAAACAGGTTGTTCTGGATGAGCTGCTTGCCCAGCATGGTGATGCACAGCTGGATGCACAGCTCCATGAGGCAGCCTGCGTGGGCACACTAGGGAGGGAACAGGTGGACAGGTGTCAGGAGGTGAGAGGAAATCAAAGTGAGGCAGAAGAGTATGAAGTTTACAGAGCTGACAGTGGGCAGAGGAAAGTAACATTCAAACAAGCAGAGACAGATCACAGCCGGATACAGAGGAAAAAGCTCCATGTTTACAGAAGTTCAGGTCTGACGATAAAATATCATTATCATTTTATTTATTTAAGAAATTATTTAGTCACAACCCTAATTCTAATTCTAAATCCTTATTAAATATACCATCAGTGTGTGTACAAAGTGTACTCCTATTAAAATGAAAAGATCCTTATGTAATATTCATGTTTGAAAACACCTGTGTGTGAGTTCTCAAAACCTCAAACACATCACAACCCAAACTAAAATTCAAACTCAACTGACTGATAGTCAGTGTGGTTCAGGTCTCCATGATAACTCGTGACATGTTATTTCAACATGGCTGTCAATGTCACAACTGGTCCCACACAGCAGTCCCAGGAGTGAGCGATAGAAAATAAATCTATCTGTCTGGCTTCACAGGATTTGACACAACAATGACTAAACACACAAGGTGACATGCTTGTTACTGATTGGTCCAGGAGGGGACATTACATATTTACTGTTTACAGTCATGTTAGAAAAATACTTCCTATCTTATTGAGGATTTAAAGGAAAACTCTGTTTGTTCCTTCATCACCATGAACAGACATTACTACAGCACCAAAGGTGGATTAAACCAGAGAGAGAGAGAGAATTAAAAGATATATGTCTTTACCAGGCACCGCAGGGTGACAGGTGTCATTGACATCAAGAAAATACGGAATATCAACAACCTAACCCTAAGTGGAACTAGGGCTGGGCCTAATTTTTGATTATGATTTTGGCTTCTAACAATTATGAAAACATTATTGTGCTGGATTCTGTTTCACAACAAATTTCAATCCCCCGACAAAAACCATCCCCCATCCACTTCCTGGTTACATTTGGCGTACGTTAGCATCGTACGCAGGGGTGCGTCATCTTGAGAGGTTTGCTGGTTCAGAGTCGGGCCAGACTTTAATTTCCTTTGACTGAGTTACGGACTGGAATATGTTGAATATAGCTCACCAAAATGTTGATATATAAGTTAAGTAGTTTTCACCAGGTTGCGGAATTACACTAATGTTACAACATAGCTGATCTTTATTTATTTTGATCTAATTTATTTTTCATACATTTTTATATTATATATTTATTGTATATATTAAGATATTAGATTTTTTTTATTTTTTTTTATGTCAGTTGAATTGTATTTAAAGTTGAGGAAAGTCCACTGTTTAACCCTTGTGTGATGTTCATATTTTTGTTACTCAGCCAGTGTTGGCGGGTCTGGTGGACCCGCTGCATTTGTTGGGGTTTAATTCAACACAATCAAACAATTTTCTGTTAAAATACTTAACAAATGTTTACTTCATCCCAATTACAAGCAATACACAGTAAACAGCATATACTTGTATGGTTAATATAAAATGTGTAGGGGGGTGTACAATGTGTGGTCATTGAAAATGTGTTCTGATAAATATTCTTCACAGAAAATGAGCCAAGGCCAATGAGTCTGGGTTTGAAAAATACTTAATCATATAATATTTCTTTTGATAAAAAATGAAAACGGGTCCCACAGACCCGAACACCACACAAGGGTTAAAAGTTCTACTGTAGGGGGCGTCGAGTAGCTCAGTTGGATGAGCATCCGCCTAGAGGATGCAGGAACTAGAGGCTACAGTCCTCGCTGCAGTCGGCCCCGGTTTGAATCCCGCATCGGACAGCCCTTAGCTGCATGTCATTCCCCCTCTCTCTGCCTCCCCATTTCCTGTCTCTCTCTACTGCACTATCAATAAAGGCACAAAAAGCCTGAAAAATAATAAAAAAAAAATAAAAAAAAAGTTCTACTGTAGAACTGTAAAGTATAGAATTACCTCTTCCATTCTGTATGATCCAACAACATACAAGTAGTTTCCAGGACGCCCAACAAGCCTGTGGATCAAACATTCATCATTCAGGTGAGGACAACAGGAAGTGTACAGGATGAATGTGTTCACTCTATTTGCAAAAACAAGCAGTGAGAGGTTTTCCTTCACCTGCCCCTGAAGAAGGCCAGGTACACAATGGGTGTGAAGGCATTGACAAACTTCAAGATGAAGGTTTTGAAGATGAGACGCTCCTCAAAGCTCTTGTCTGTCTTTGGAACCTCTGAAAAAGAGGCAAACAGTGACTTTATTATCTGACACACATGAATTCATCCAGTAACGCCATGATGCTGTGGAGAATTGATTTCCTATGTTGTTAACTCTAACCATCTGTGGCGCTGTGGTCTGATTAGCTAAATTGCAAACACACAGTTTTCATGGGTTCAGCAAGAAAATCACATCGAAAAAAAAACGAATCTGAAAAAGATGATAATAAAACAGACGCAGTTGCTCATCAAAATGAAAATGAAATAAAAAATGAAAATTCATCCCTGAAGTCTTGGATTCTGAATCCCAATATTCTTTGAAATGAAATGAAAATATCAACAGCATTTCCACTATTTCCCACTGAGTTTATAATAGTGTGAATGTAAAAAAAAATGCAGTGTATGGTAAATTCAGGGGTGACACAGTAGTACAGTGGTCGGCGCTGTTGCCTCACAACGAGAAGGTTCTGGGTTTGTCTGTGTGGAGTTTGCATGTTCTCCCCTCGTCTGCGCGGGTTCTCCAGCTTCCTCCCACGGTACAAAGCCATGTAGGTTTAGGTTGATTGGTGACTCTAAAGTGCCCATAGGTGTGAATGTGTGTGCAAGTTGTTGTTTGTCTCTATATGTCAGCCCTGTGATAGACTGGTGACCTGTCCAGGTGTAACCCACCCTCGCCCAATGTCAGCTGGGATCAGCTCCAGCACCCGTGCAACCCTATAAGGATAGGCGGTATAGATAATGGATGGATGGTAAATTCAAGAGTCAATAACAACAACCAACATGTCTCCTGCTGAGGTGTTTGTTTGCTAAATTAGATTTAAGGTGAGCTCAGAGAGACTCTGCACACACTCAAGCATCAGAGTGAAGGAAGAACACACACAAACACACTTGAGCAGACAGAGACTTAAACATTTACATTTGAACATTTTCACTTTTGTTTGTATGAAAACCCCTCTGATCAGGTGGCTCTGTAGAAACTAGAGTCTGAGTATCTTCAGTGAAATGTTCCTCACCCAGTGTTGTCAGCCAGCGGGCAATGGCACCATAGATTTCATCTAAGATGATGATGATGATAAGGTTGATGATGGCGGCGGTGGTCTTCACTGTGGCTCTGATGTTGGATCGTGCTGCAGGGTAGGTGCTAATGTGCAGGGCTGCCTTAATGCTGATCCGGTACAGGATGACCCCAAAGACTATGGCAAAGGTCACAATGATCTACCAGAGAGGAAGTGGAGGAGGAAGAGGGGGAGAACAGGTCTAACATCTGCTGATCAAGAGTCTGTGTAGGTGACACTCAGTGAAAAGTCTGTTGGATCAACTTCCTGTTTTCATACTGGCAGTTTTCAAAACATTCAACCTATCAAACTTTATCAAATCTGAACAATCAACAGGAAGTTTGATGAGTGTAAACATGTAACGTCAGAGAAATGGTTTTAGCTCTCAGAGGACACTTGTGTTTTTCTGTTCCTTCTTCACTGCAGAGGCCCAATACATTCATTTGTGAGGAAGCCTTTATCTCTCACTGAAGACGGAATAAGAAAATATAACCTATTTGGGTTTCAGGTTTGGCCTTAAGGCTCAGGTGGGTGTGGGTCTGCTTGACATCAGTTTCAAGGTGGGTGTACAATGTGTGATTCTGGGCTGTACCAGACAAACAGAGGTAGACAGAGTCCACAGCTCTATTACTGGAGTAAGAGTGTAGATCCTCCTGGTCAAATATGACTCCATTACACGTGAAAGTTGTTCAGTCAGATTACTCCAGAGTACTGGAGTACTTGATTTTAAAAACACTGAAGTATTCAAAAGTACATTTTATGTGAATACATTGTTGTATTGTTCCACATTTACAGAACCTGATGACTCTGAAACAACCCACTGACTGACTGACTGACTGACTGACTGACTCTAGTATACAAAGACTGTAGGATATGATACAAAGACTGATAGAAATGGACATAAAAACTCAACTGAATCAACAAAAGGAGGTATTGTTTTCCTTTTTATTATTTAGTAGTCAGTGATGAAGTCTGATTGTAGTAAACACAGCAAACAGAATCAAATCCACCTATCAAATTTGAAGAAGAGAAAGAGTTTTGAATCCCTTAATTAGGGTCATCGAGTGCATCAACCTGAAAATGAGACAGCTAATCTCTGCTGATAAAAAAGGAAAAGGAGATAAAATGTTCAACAAGGGATTTGTTAGCATTTTGGAACCAGGAACCAAATCAAGAATAGAACCAGCTAACAGACCAGAAAAAAACATATGAAATAAATGGCTAATGGTTCGCTAAACGTTAATGTGTTTTCATTGATATTGAGTCAGACAGGTGTTTGATCACATGAACAAGAAGCATTACATCACTGCTTCAGAGGAAACACAGTGAGGATGGAGAGAGTGAAACTCACCAGGAAGAACATCATCATCACAGTCGTCAGGTAAGCTGGCAGTCTGTCTGTACACGTCAGCTTCACCTTCTCACCCTACACCACACACACACACGCACACACGCACACACACACGCACACACACACACACACACACGCACACACACACACACACACACACACACACGACACCACACGCACACACGCACACACACACACACACACACACACACACACAGCACACACACATCACACACACACATCACACACAACAACGCACACACGCACACACACACGCACACACACACACACACACCACACACACACACACACACACACACACACACACACACACACACATAAAGTACACAGTATGTATCTGTAACATGAATATAATCTCCAGCTTGTGAGTGTGTTAATGTGTGTGTTTCTGCTGCCACAGCCTCATGACACTCTCCTGTCAGCAGCAGCTCTTTATGCCCTGGTACACAGATGTACACAGCACCACACACCATAAATACACACACACATATACTATGTGGCTCCAATGGAGCAAAGCTAATCACGCCCCAAGCCATCGTGTCACATTCAAGCCAACTGAGAACTGGGTCAGAGAGCCAAAGTGACTGTGTGTGTGTTTGTGTGTGTGTATCCGCTTGTGTATCTGATGAAAAAGGAAGATGCGACCTTGGTACAAAATAAAAGTCTAAAGGCTGATAGTCGCTTGAATGTCCTCCAGGACACGTCATGTTTAATATGTCGGTGATTTTCACCACACACACACACACACACACACACACACACACACACACACACACACACACACACACACACACACACACACACACCACGCCACAGATTTGTATTGCTCCACTGGTCAGAGCTGAGTGGTGTGTTTCCTGTTAAAGGTAGTGCTTCAATAGCAGTGAATGTGAGAACATACCGCTGCATCCTCTGCGCAGGTACTACTCAACCATTGCTTTGGTTCTATATCATCACATTTAATTCCTGATGAATTAAGATTATTATAATTGTAATATCAATACAATATATACTCTGTTTCTTCATAGCATGATCATAATCTCGAATGATAATTACCTTGCATTCACCAATGATATCATACTAATTCTCATATTTACTTTGTTCAGTTCGGATCCTAATCCGAACCGGATTTGCTCGCTCTATGGTGTTCCCATGGATCATACGGACCACAGGTAGTGGAGAATCAGCAGTAACGCTCGTAGTCGGCGTGAGAATCGAAAGAAGGGAAGCCGCTGTCCTATGAGAGAGCCCTATAATGGTCGATAATCTTCTTCGAATTATTATCTCGAGGTAATGGTCATGTTGATCGAAGTAGTTAGCGCTACTACCACAAAGAAATATGCACAGTGCTCTTCCAACCTACTTGAAACTTATACTGAAGTGGTACAGGTATATGAACCTTGAGTGATCGCACCTCTCGTCTAAGAGCTAGAACTGGCCAACATTATGCAGTGCAAGACGATGATGTGTTGCACTAGAACTCGTGAGCACAAACAACCAACCTATCTCGCGAGTGGCTAGTCTGCAGAGTGCATCGATAGAACTCATATACGAAATTGTGTGAGAAAAGTCCAAGCTGTCTATATCACTCATCCATAACGAGTAAAAACAGTAATCGTACCACATAATTGAGTCCGCAAAGATATTACTGGCAGAACAAGAGGTAAATACTTATGATTTGTAGTAATTCGCTATACTTTAATAAAGACTTACCACTTATCTCCCTATAATAAAATACAATATCCTATAATTGTAATCATCCAGAGTTGAAATGATTCCTATTTGGCCTGGTAAACCATGAAATAGCTAATTTACTCTAGTCATACCTTTTCCATATTGCCTGATATACAGAAGTAAGCAGTGGATTAATACCACATAGGTTCCATCTTAAATTTCTAATTTCATTACAGTAATATACCTAATAAGAAAAAAATCAAACAAAGCTTTCGAAGTATGTCCTTGTCTACTAGTACATAGAATAAAGCCTACACAATCGAAAAGTGTACCCTCAGGTAACCATTAAATTAAGATTGAAAGGCATCATGAAAAACAGGCAGTTCTGCCGTTGGATTGTATTAGGTATAGTCAACAATTAGTAGTTAATTTTGTTGGATGCTCGTTTCGGAAGTGAACTCTAAACGAGATACTCTGAGTGCTTCTGGTGGTTCTAATAATCCTGGCTTACTAGTTGGACAAGCGTTTTCCACAACATAGCATCAGACAATATGCATAATCACAGCATGGACGTTGTACGTGGCTCTTGCGAGCCAGCGTGGACTCCATCATGCACATAGTTGTCCTCCAGTAGCGCATACATACTAGTACGCATTCGTATTAGTGACCCACTACCGTGACTTGTTATGCGTTATCGCTAGCAGGTTATAAGGACTGATCAATCAGTGCTTCCCTCATACACATTACTCCTAACCTCTTATCCTATCTGAGAGAATCGAGATCACTCAAGTACCAGAGTACTTATTGAACAGCTAAAGTCCCCAACTAAATATGATTTGTCCTATGAAGCAGATTTTCTCACAGATGGGAGGGGTCGTGAGAACTAGCTCTGCAGGGCCTATATAATGATGATAAC